GAGCTACAGTTTCGACTGAGGTTGTTCATACCCTACCTACCTCATATCTTAATGGCTCTGGGAACTACAATAGGTTGGTAGCATCATGGGACTAGATGCGAGTAGCTGAGGAAGCAGAAGCCAGAGGAGTAAATCCAGGTCTGACAATACTTGTATAAACTCAGTTCCCACAAGCTTGCCAAGGGCTGGGAAAAGGCCAGCATAGAGAAGACGACTGCCTAGCTTTGTTCTCCAGCCCTCTTTTGCAGGCTTAATTTTAGGTACCTTTTTTGGGCGTTCTGAGGGCTTGGGCCTTCAGGAAATGGGCTTCACACACAGAGAAAGTAGTACAACTTCAAAGCACACTAAAACAGGGAGATCTCCTATCTCATGTGGAGGCTACCAAGTGGAAAGTCTACTCTGGAGAGAGCATTCCTGGGGCCAACCCATCTTGACCCCATTCACATGAACTGACAGTCTCCTTTTCTTCCAGCCTCTGAGAAAAGATTGGGCACCTTCAATGTGTAGTCCGTTGGCTCTGTAAAACCCACTAAAAGTCTAAATTCAACATACTCTTTCAGAAAGTTCAGTTGTGCCCACTTGGGTTTCCAGAATTGCAGGACCCTGAGGGCAAGCTTAGAGAATCAAAGGTGCAGGGACTTTTAAATCAATTTGGCCTCAGTGTCTCCTCTAGGAAAATTCTCTCAATCTGGTGGAAGGCACAGAGGATTAGCCATAGAGGAATTTACCATTTCCTGGCTCTGAGAACTTGGGCAAATGGCATAACTATTCTGTGCCTCAGTTTTCTCATCTATGAAACAGAGTTATTACCATTACTCACCTCATAGAAATATCAGGACAAATTCAATAAACCCATTCAAAAGCACATAAAGACATATTTGGCATACAGTATATGCTATACAAGTGTTAGCACCCCTGGTCAAGTTATATGGGGAATACCTATCCTACCTTGGGCCTTTGGGGAAGCTGCTTCTCCCTGTCCTAGATAGAATGAGACATAGTTACGGAATTGGTCACCAGCATCAAGGTGCCATCTTGGAATACCATCAGCTTCCAAAGAGCCCCCCTTGCACTCCAGCTACCACTTTCTTTGGTGTGTTGCCCAACTGTCTCTGAGTGAATTTGAGAGATGGGAGAAGTTGAACAGCATCAGAGTTTCCAACTGCTCATGTAAGTGGGATGCACATGGTAATTATTTTCTTCCCCAGGATAAAGATCTTGACAACCATGTGTCTTTACAGTGAAAGGCAGGGTTTCTGTAGGTAGCTGCTTCAATGTTAAGCAACATTATGACCCTCAAGAATATTTTTTTTTAAAGATTTTATTTATTTATTTGACAGAGAGAGAGGGAACACAAGCAGGGGGAGTGGGAGAGGGAGAAGCAGGCTTCCCGCTGAGCAGGGAGCCCGATGCGGGGCTCGATCCCAGGATCCTGGGATCATGACCTGAGCCGAAGGCAGACAGCTAACGACTGAGCCACCCAGGTGCCCCGACCCTCAAGAATATTTTATGTCCTAATCATTAGAACTGTAATTATATGGCAAAAGAGATGCTGAAATGTGATTAAGGTTACTACTGACTTTAAAATAGGGAGACTATCCTGGATTATCTGTGTGGGCCCAATGAAATCACTCCAATAAAAGAGTAAGCCCTTAACAGCAGAGGCAAAAGAGGAAGTCAGAGAGATGCAAAAGGGGAAGCAGGATTTGACATGCCATTGTTAGCTTGAATATGGAGAGGGGCACTTGTCAAAAAAACGATGACCTCAGTCACATAACAACAAGGAACTGAATTCTGCCAATAACCAGCTTGGAAGAAGATTCTGAGCCCCAAATGACAACCACAACCCCAGCTGATATCTTGATTTTAGTTCATTGAGACCCTAAGAAGAGAATCCAGCCACACTATGCTGAACTTGTGACCTACAGAAACTGGGAGAGAATAAATGGATGTTGTTATAAGCTGCTCAATTTGTAGTCATTTGTTACAGCAGCAACAGAGAAATAATACAATGCTCTGAGCCTCAATTTATACATCTGTCAAATGGAGCAAAATGTCTTATCTTGCCTACCTTTTGGGTTGTTATGAGGACAAAATGATGGATCTAAGAGGGCTCTGCAGTTTCAAGTTATAAAACTGTTAGGATATTTTCCAACAGGGAAAAAAAAAGTCCATCTGTTTGGAAGCAATTGGATTGAAGCAATTAAAAGCTTAGAGCTGTGGGGTGTCTGGATGGCTCAGTTGATTAAGCATCTGCCTTCGGCTCGGGTCAAGATCCCAGGATCCTGGGATCGAGCCCCACATCGGGCTCCCTCCTCAACAGGGCGTCTGCTTCCCTCTCCCTCTGCCCCTCCTCCTGCTCTTTCTCTCTCTCTCTCAAATCTTAGGAAAAAAAATCTTAGAGTTGATATTTCCCAGAAGTGCTGAGGGTTTGGAGGGCTGCTTCTCCTCTCCTAGAGAAGCAGCACAGTATAGATGAAATCAGAAAACCTAGGTCCAAGTTTATTTTCTACTTGCATGTCCTTAGTCATGTTGTGTCACCTCTCTGAGCCTCAGTAAAATGAGGGTAATGATCTCTGCTCTGCCTAGATGATATGGTTGTGTGAGGCTTGACTGAAACAATGACTGTAAACATGTGATGTGGACAAAATACAGATGGAATGTTTATTAGTCCTCCCCAGTGTGTGCTCTGATGTTGGAAGCAGATATGATTTGGATAAACTAGTCACCCAAAGAGAGTTGAACTTTGATCACCTGTTTTCTGCCATTGTCTCTGGTACGTGGCCTTAGACAAGTCCCTTCTCCTCTCTGAATCTGTTTTTCCATTTTAAGAGGTTATATTATAGCCAGTTGTCTTCACCTAATAGGCATCGGAATCACTTGGAGAGATGAGTGGCAGATGGGGGATAAGTAGAAGTTCTCTCCTTTTTATATGCCCCTCCTACCCCCAATAAACTATCCCCTAAAAGCTCAAGTCAGAGCAGTTTACTTTATTAAATCATGCAAAGTAAGCCCTATTTAGGATATAGGATTTGAATCCCAAGTATGTGGTTTGAAGCAATTGATTCTCAAATTTCAAAGTTTTTTTTTTTTAAAGATTTTATTTATTTATTTGACAGAGAGAGACAGAGCGAGAGAGAGAACACAAGTGGGGGGAGTGGGAGAGGGAGAAGCAGGCTTCCTGCCGAGCAGGGAGCCCGATGCGGGGCTTAATCCCAGGACCCTGGGATCATGACCTGAGCCGAAGGCAGACGCTTAACGACTGAGCCACCCAGGCGCCACTCAAATTTCAAAGTTTTCTAATTTAAATTTTTCCTAGCCCATTTCAAGCTGATTAACTAGAGTCAGGCCCCTCCCAGTTCCTTGCAATTCCCATTAATGTTGCTTTGTTGTGACTGTGAGATTTCCTCCCAGAATACCCCTTCTTATGTGAACTGAGGATGTTAAACTAGGGCCAGACAAAAGCCTATAGATTTGTCCATGTTTTAATTAAATGTAATCTGTAGCAAAACCCACAGTTGAGAAAAACAGAACATCAAAACTTAAAAGGCACTTTAAGACTATCCTGTTTAAAGACACTCACATGTGGAATATAAGGAATAGTGCAGAGGATCATAGGGGAAGGGAGGGAAAACTGAATGGGAAGAAATCAGAGAGGGAGACAAACCATGAGAGACTCTTGACTCTGGGAAACAAACTGAGGGTTGCAGATAGGGAGGTGGGTGGGGGGATGGGGTAACTGGGTGATGGGCATTAAGGAGGGCACATGATGTGATGAGCACTGGGTGTTATATGCAACTAATGATTCATTGAACTCTACATCAAAAACTAATGAGGTACTATATGTTGGCTAATTGAATTAAAAAAAAATAATAAGGACAATTTGAGACCTACAGAGAGGGAGGTACTTGCTGAGCATTAAAGAGAATCAGTGACAGAGGCAAATCTGGAACCCCCAGGGCTTCTGAAAGGAGTTCCTTCCACTGCTGCATGTTGCCTTTCCACTGCCTTTAGTGGTCAGAGACTGGAAAATCAAGTGATTTTTCAGTCTTTTTCCCTAGGCTGGTTTCACTATTCTTTGAAGTGGAGAAACTTCATTTACATGTCATCTAAGTATGAGGCCATGTACAAAGCACTCTAAGTAGTCATCAGCTATGGACACAATCTTTCTAAACACTCCCAACATAACCAGATTAGCCTTATCCACCATTTTTGGTCTTTGGCTCACCCAAAGTTCTCCTTCCTCAACCTGCTTTTCTGTTTCAAATGCCTTATATCAGTGCTTCTCAAACTTTAATGTGCATAGAAATATAGAGCTCTTATTAAAATAAAGGTTTTGATTACAAATGTCTATCGTGCTCCTCAAGAATCTGCTTCTAACAAGCTCCCAGGTAATGATGATGCTGAGGGGGATGATGGACCACATTTGGAGTAGCAAGACTTATAGATGTTGTTTCCATCAGTCTCATTTCTAAACATCTTCTCTATTTACCACCAGGATTCCTTTACTACTAAGGGGGGTAGTGTGATGTATTAGAAACAGTAAGGCCTCTGTAGCTTCCAGTCCTGAATTTTTATCAATCCTTAGCTGTGTGATCTTGAGCAGTCATTTCTCATCTCCCTGAACCTCAACTTTCCTTATCTGTAAAATGGGGCTATTACCCATCATGCAGTGATGTTGTGAGGCCTGAGGGAATGACAAGGGTTTGGTGCAAAGTAGACTGTAGATTGAGAATCCTGGTTATAAAAGGTTATAAAAGGAATCCTGGTTATAAAAACCAAAGCCTGGGTTTCCTTAGAATTGCAAAAGATGACATGAGCAGTGCATGGTGGCTGCATCATCATGTCTAATATGCTCAAAGATTGTTTCCATGAAAAAACTGCCACTAGATATATGCAACTGATAAATCACTAAATTCTACCTCTGAAACTTCTAATACACTACATGTTAACTTGAATTTACATAAAATTAAAAAAAAACTGCAGATGGACGCCATCAATACTGGACAGTCTGCATATTTTATTGAAAGTCACATGAATGGGCCCCAGGATCTCTTTCTTTTGTCTGATGTCACATATATATTTCCCATAGGCAGTCTTTCTAGCATCTATTAATGCCCTTGGTATCAAGTGCTTCTTTTCCCTGTGAAAATAAAGACTTTTCGTCATCAAAAACATCTCTTCAAGGTATGTTGCTTCTCTCTGCAATTTTTAAGTGCTCCTAAAGCTTTTTGGGCTTGTAGTGTGTCAAGGCTATTTGCTTGCAGCTATGTTAAAACTAGTATCATTGATCTACATTCTTTTGAAAGCGATTTTTTTCTGGTCACAGAGACACATCTTCCTCTACTACTTTATTCTAGTTATTACATAATCAAGGAACTTCTAAATAAGGGAAGTATCCTAAAACAATTATTTTAGAAATACTAGAGTATTTCTATATGATGCTGTTTTATTACTGAAGTCGGGTGCTGAGTTTCACACCCCCACCCTGTGGCTGGACAACCTCCCCACCTTTTTTAAAGCAAAAACTTCAATGATATTTCTTATTCTAAATTATCTCTTAACTTTTGTTATCACCACAGAAAACCTTGTAAGGATTTGACCCCAAGGCATTAAGTACCAGAGAGGCACCAATACGTTTTGTCCTTCTCAAACTGTATGTGTGGATGTCTTCAGTCTCTTGGACTGAAAATAAACATGCTACAACCATGGTAAAGTACATAGACATATACAAGGACCCTTTTTTCTTTGAAAAACAGCTAAGCCAAAGACTTAGTAACTATGAACTAAAAAATAAATTCATTTCACAAGGTAAAATTGAATGATCTTTTTAAAACATTACCAAATGGGTATATGGAAGGTTAGGAGAAAGCCCAACTCAGAAATCTCTTCCAGTCCAGTTTTTGTTCCCCTGTAAACTAGACCTGCCCTACTTCCCTTCAAATGCTTGCTTTTTAATATTTTATTAGGCAGAGAAAGTCAGTCATCCAGTTCCAGTAATGTAGCCTCTGTGTGGTAAAGAGAAAAACAGCATGGGGTACAGAGTCGGAGAGGCCTGGATTCGAGTCACAGTCCTGTTATTTACTTTCTGTGAGACCTTGAGCCAGTTACTTTAGCCTTCTGGGCCACAATTCTTTTTTCTGTAAAATGAGGGACTAGCATCTACTTGCATCATTGTTTTAAGGACAAAGGAGATTATGTATATGAAGCACTTAGAACTTAGTAGGTGCTTAATAAATGTTATCACTGTCAGTTCAGGGTTTATGGTTCATCCATTGCCAGTTTCTCTAACCTGCTGGCCAAGGTATGCAGATAATTTCCTATAGTTGCCACTCTTCAATTATCACCCCATTCCCATAGCCTCTTCTGAATGACTATTCATCCATCAAGCCTGGGCCAAGCCAGTTTCATTCCATGACAGTGAGCCTCACCACAGAAGCTTTTGCTCTTTAAATTAGAGCATAAAAGGGAGAGGCACTGAGGTTCATTTTTGGGCCTTCTTCAGGTATAGCCTAGGGCAGGGGCAGAGCTATCCAGCTACTGCTTCCCGGTCTCCAGCCAGCCTGGTAGTCCCAACTTTCTAGGCCAGGCTCTTGATCTATGTCCCAGAAAACACACAGTAATCTCATGGTCACATTTCTGGGACATCTATTCAACTGGGACTGCAGTGGCTTTCTCTGGTTCTCAATAATCTTTCAGTATTTGTAGTGGTGATTTTGGTATTCCCCCACCCCAAGAAAACAAGAGTGAAATGATGGCCCTACCATCTTCAAATGTACTGAAGTCCCACTGGCCACTGCTTCTGTGGCCAAAATCTACATACCTACTTGCTTTAGTTAGTTATCTAATGGGGCAAGGCAAGCAGAGAGGCCACAGCTCTGAGAATGGGGCTCAACAAGTACTTCCTGGGTGAGGCCAGGAGTCTCACAGCAACTTCCTTTGGGGGTGAGCCTCAGGTAGAATGGTGATCACTTGGCTCACTTGTTCCTGGTTCTTGTTAACTTGGCCTTTGCGACTGGGTAGAGCTGAGAGAGTTTTACGTGGCCACCTGGGCATGTCTTTATTGGGAATAGCATCGTTTCTGCTCGATTACTTCCACAAAGGCCTACATGTTACTAATTCACGAATGGATCATGTTGAGTTCAGTCTTGAAAGTGGCTATCATCTTTCAGTAACATTGTTTCAAAGGCATCTCAGAGTTGGTTTGGGCATGTGTGTATTCTCTCTCTCTCTTCCCCTTCCTCCATCTCCCTCTCCTTTCTTCTCTTCTTCTCCTCCCTCCACCCATGTCTATGCTTCTCTCTCAGTTCCATAGTGAAGGTATTGCTAGAAGGTTCAAGTAGAAAAGCCCTTTTTCTCACACTTGGCCATATTATAATTACACAGACCCTAAAGACAGGTTATGGCCTGAGAGCATGGGAACACAAACAGTGACACTTTCTCCAGCAGCTTCCCATCAATAAACAAGCATCAGAAATGTCTATTCAGATTTCTGAGTCACTACACAGGTTGTGTTTTAGTTCCTTTCTAATGACTGAAATGGCAAATGGAACACCAGGAGCTTGTGTCTGAAAGTTTTCCACTTGCTAACAAATATGGGAGGCTCAAGAAAGAGGGTAAAAGCCCAACACTCAAAATGATGACCACTAACGCCACCAATCATAAGGCCCCTTGTTAGACAAGTGTCGTATAATGGAAAGAAACTTGTACAGGAGCCCAGGGACCTGGGTACTTGTTTAGGCATGGCTGATAACTTGCTCTGCCTCAGTTTCTCCAATAGTAAACTAGGTAATTAGACGAAATAATTTTGGAAGGCCTTCCAATCAAATACTTTATGGGTTGTAAAGAGTCTTTTATCTCAAGTGCTATGGTTCTTAACCCTTATTGGGTCACAGGCCCATCTGAAATTCAGTAGAATGTTATGGACCATCTCCCCAGAAAAGGTACATTGTCATGGAATTCTGCATACCATTTCAGAAGCTTCATGGAGTTTCTGAATCCACGGACACTGGGTTAGGAGTTGCTTCTTGGTGGAGATAAAAGCTTATCTGCAGAAGGCAAACATGAAGCAACAGTGCCAGCTGCCTCACCTCAATCCATCTTAACAATTTTTCCCAGTATTTGACCCAAAAGTGGAACTTCTGCAGGACAGATACAGTCTGCCTTTTTTAAAGAACTGTTTTCAGTTTTTGTTTCTTTCTTGATTGTTTAGAAATTAAGCTGTCAGGAAAAAAATAGGAGGAAAAATAATTCAAACAGACCTAAGGCTTCAACATGCAAAATATTCTTTGCAGATGTGTCCTAAGTGGTTTTATGCAAAAACAGAAAGGCCACCGTCCTGAGTTCACATGAAGTTGTGGTTGATATCACCCATATGCTGTTTGGCCCAATAGGAACAGACAGGTTCTTGGCAATATACTGCAGTGCCAGAGCTCCAACCTGGCGCCAGGGTCATTATCCTCAGTAAGAGACATATCAAGATTCACCAATGTTTGGCAAACATTCCTACTCTTCTACTTCCAAGGCAAGCAGTGGCCCCAACTCAAGTAGCTTTTACTTCAGGGTAAGACCTCTGAGATCAGTCTTTAGTCCCAAGTATTTCAGAGTTTGATGGTCTTTTGAGGAGACAGGAAATTCAGAGAAGAGTTGAAAACTAAGCTCCTTTCTTCGACTCAGGTCAGTAGATAGCTTGGTTTCTGCAGTCTGGCTTGAGGGAGTTCAGCCATTCACAATCATATAGGAGCTCAACATAGACCTTCTGAGGGAACAAAGACAGAAAACATAAGAGAAATAAACCTGTGTCTAAGACATGTGCCCCTTATTTTATAGCATCCTAGAGCCTGAAGGTGCAGGGCCAGGAAGGAGCTGCTCTCTTCAGCACAAAAGAGTTTGAAGAAGACCCTTCCAGAACAGTGAAGGGTCCCCTGAGGCCAAGGATTTTAAAACCTGAAAAGGAAAGAAGAGAGTAGGTAATTAGCTAGGACTGGTCAAGTACTTAACAGCCACTGAGAAGTGAGGCCTATCTTGGTAGGTAGGTAAATACATAATTGGTAGCTAATCTTCTGAGCAACAGAGGCTGGCTAGGAAAAGGCCCTTACAACTTAGATCCCATGAAACAGGCCTAAGATGGTGCTATAATCAGGGCTGGAAACTGTGCATTTGATCTCAATTGTAATCCCCCAGAAGTCTACAGAAGATGAAGCCTGATACCTTTGAGACTACCCACCTACAACATAGACACTGCCTTTATGGCCCTATACTGACTCCAAATTTCTTTTTTGGGATTTCACTTCCATGAGGGATAATAAGGAAAAGCTTATCAGCCTATGGACCCCTGAGGACTGGCAGTGATAGGAAGTAAAGGGAGGCTGGGGAACAAATGGAAAGCTCTTCTCCAGATACCCAGATCTCATTTATAAGTATATTGGTTAATGTCATGCCAGAAATCTGATAGCCAAACAATTAGAACTCCTAAGTAGAGAAAAATAAATTCTATGATCTCTGTAGCTCCTGCGACCTTAGCAAGTTAATTTATCCCCTCTGAACCTCAGTTCCTTTATTTGCAAGTTAAAATATATATTATCCTCTTTATTCTGGCATCTGGTATGGATCTAATGAAATAATGGAAGTGAAAGTACTTTTCATTAAACAAATATACAAGACTAAGGATAGAGGTTCGGGGGAAAAGACTTAAATAGTGATTTGGTCTGAAGGTGTGAAGTCCCTATATGATACTGAAGTGGATTCATGGTACTTGCTATAATACCAAAAGAGAGGTTACCGATTTTCTTATAGACCCAAGGGATGTCAGAGTTACAGGGTTCCAAACTTTTAATTTTACAGATTGGGAAATTGAGGCTAAGAGAACAAAATGTACTTGCCACATGTCACAGTCTAGGATTCCTAATGAACTTTATCCAAAGGCAACTTGTAAAACTACACTGTAATTTGGTTGGAGGGAGAAAGAAAGGAAAGAGGAAGGAGACTTAAAAACACAGGGAACCTCAGAATTGGAAGGTAGTAAGTTTAAGGGTCACATAATTACAGGTTAATGAACTGAGACATGGAATGTGTTCCTATCCTCTGGAACCACAAGATATTTTAGTCCTCAAAAGCTCAGATCCCATAAAGAAGGCTTACGTGTTACAAGGTTCTGTAATCAGGAGTGGAGACTACATACCGGAGGCCTCAACTCTCATCTCCAGGAACTCTGCCTTGAGAACTGTGGGTAAAGGAGGAAAAACATTTCACTAAGCCTCTAGAAATCAGAACTGAAAAGGCAAAGCAAGGGGATGGGTGACCCTTCCAGGCCAGTGCCAAAAAGTCCATTTGAAAAATGGGAAGTGATTCCATCCAAATGTTTCAGAACATCTAGATCTATGCTTATAAGTTGGGCTACCTCTCTGGCAGATTTAGCAAGCCCAGTAACCGAGATACAAAGAAATCTCTCAGGTGTCAGAACAATCCTTTGAGTGTTAGACTATGGGAGGTTAGTGAAGCCCAGAGAAACTGGCCCGAAGACTATATTCTGTGATTATTTCTAATAGGTAGAATGGCAAGGTGGAAGGAAGGGCAAATGTCATGCAAAACAAGAATCATCCTTTGCCTTGAAGATCAAACCAACTTTCCCCAGCCTCTTGATGTGCTTGTATCAGTACTAAATTAGCCTTGTCTGGGAATAGCTGGAGGGAAGAGACAATCCTAAAGAATGAAGCCCTATATAGTGTTGCCATAATATCCCAGAAAATAGCTGGTCCCAGGGCTATTTCTGTAGCATTGTTTTTCACTTCTTTCCTAAGTCTATTTATACTTACTTCCTGAGTGATCTTATTCCCATTCATGGTTTAAATCACCACCAAATATTGAGAACCCACCAAAGGGCCACTATTCATATTGTGGTAAATGTAAATGCCCCATGAAGTTGCACAGTGGCTGTACTCAACAGTTCTACCCTTAAATCTCTGTGGGTTCAACCCCAACTACTATTCTAAGTTGCAGTTACCTACTGGACATTTCTTTTTTTATTTAAGTTTTATTTAAATTCCAGTTAGCTAACATACAGTGTAATAATAGTTTCAGGTGTACAATAGAGTAATTGGACACTTCCATACAATACCCGGTGCTCATCACAAGTGCCCTCCCTATGCCCACCACCACATATTTATCCCATCCCCACCTCCTTCACTTTCCGTAAACATGTTTGTTCTCTATAATTAAGAGTCTGTTTCTTGGTTTGTCTCTCTCTCCATTTTTTCCCCTTTGCTCATTTGTTTTGTTTCATAAATTCCACTTGAGTGAAACTATAAGGCATTTGTCTTGCTCTGACTGACATATTCCCCTTAGCATAATACTCTCTATCTCCAAGTAGTTGCAAATGGTAAAATTTCATTCTTTTTAATGACTAATATGTCATTGTGTGTGTGTGTGTGTGTGTGTGTGTGTGTATACACACACAATGTCTTCTTCATCCATTCATCAGTCAGAAATGGGCTGTTTCCATATTTTGGCTATTGTAGATAATGCTGCTATAAACATCGGGGTGCAGGTGTCCCTTTGAATTAGTATTTTTGTATTCTTTCAGTAAATACCTAGTGCTG